CCCCGGGGATTTTGGTTGGTACTGTGCCAAGTCAGTGGTCCATTTGAGGAGAGGTGACCATTGTACCAGTTTCCAGTCCTTCAGCCTGTGCACGTGGTAACACTCTCCTTTCACTTGGTGTTTCAATGGCTTTGGACATATTCCCAGAAGTGGAATTGCTGGGGAGGTTTTCGATTACAAATTCAATTCTTTAAAAGACCTAGAATTATTTATATTTTTTTTTCATTTTTTCTGCTAATTTTGGTAAGTTGTGATTTTCAATGTATTTATTTTATCTAAGTTTCAAGCATATTTCCACAAAGGTTCACAATATTACTTGCTTATAGTTTAAATATCCATAAAGCTTCTGTCATTCCTGATATTAGCAATTTGTATTTTAAATATTTTTTCTTGATCAGTTTTTCTGAAGTCAGAGTAGTAACCTTTGGATTTTTCAATTTTCTTTTTTTTGTCTATCTGTATTTACTTATTTATTTATTTATTGTCTGTTTTTAATTTCATTCATTTTGCTCTTATTTTTAGTATTTTCTTCTAACTGATACCTAAGGCAGTAACTTACATTATTAGCTTTAAATCTTTCTTCTAACATCAGTGTTTTTAATGCTACAAATTTCCCTTGAATCACTGTTTTAACTGCACCCCGCACATTTTTATTCGCATGTTGATTGTCATTTATGTGAAAATATGTTCTAGTTTTTCTTGTTATTGATTCTTTCACCGTGCATTATTTAAAGGTATAGCGTTTGAACTTCAAATGTTTTTCTGGATCTCTTATTCTATGGATTTCTAATCTAATTCCACTGGTATTAGAAACACATATTATGAGAGTTCTATCTCATAAAATTTATTGAGACATTTGATTTTGTGGCCCAACATCAACCTAAGGTCTATCTTAGTAAAAGCTCCAACTGCAATTGAATGAAATATATGCTATGAAGCAGTTGTGCAGAGTGCTGTATAAATATAAGTTTACTCAATTTAGTTGATCAAGTGGTTGAAATTTTTATCCTAACAATTTTTAATCTACTTATTTAAAAAATACTGAGCGAAGTATTAAAAATCCCCAACTATTAATGTGGATTTATCAGTTTCTGTCTTCTACTCCATCAACATTTGCTTTACGCATTTTTTGAATCTCTGTTATGAAGTGTGTTAGGGTTGTTACAAGTTTCTAAGGAGTTAACTTTTGCATCATTATGAAATGTGCCTCTTTTCACCTAACAACATCCTTGTCTTTGTATCTGCTTGGTCTGCTATTGACAAAGCCAATCTCTGAACTTCCACCTGTTGTTTCCATAGAAAATCTTTTTCTATATTGAGCCGCCAGTCTTTCGGTGTCTCATAATAAAGGTACATTTTTTGATACAAAGTATACTTAGATCTTGCATTTTATCTGTTTCATTTTGTAATTGCACTGTTTAGGTCATTCCATTTAATATAGTCAATGATGCCATTTAAGTTTGTAATCTTCACATTTATTGTATTTGTGTTTATTCTTCTCTTTCCTCTTTTCCTGTTTTGTGTTGGGGTTCATCAAAATTTTTTTCATTATCCATGTTAATTCCCCCATTTGGGCTCTTGAATTATATATAATGTACTGGTAATAATATGAAGCATTTATTTATCAGTTTGCATAGTATGCATCACATAATATTTATAAATATATAGCAGTATAATTATATTGGTAACCTAAATTTTAGGATATTTTTATAATATATCTTAATTTTACACACATTAAGATACTATATATATAATAGATTATTAGTTTTGCTTTAAACATTCAGTTATCATCTAAAAACTAAATGTATTAGTTTGCAAGTGTTACTGTAATAAAATGCTAACTGAGTGGTTTAAACTACAGAAATATATTGTATCACAGTCTGGAGGCAAGAAGTTCCAGGTTGAGATGCCATCAAGCCAGGCCATCTCCCTAGGTGCAAAGGAACACTGTGTCCTCTGTCTTTCTGTCTCCTAACCTCGGGCAGCTCCTTAGCTTGTGGCAGCGTAACTCTAGTTTTCCCATGGTGCTCCGCCTGCATAGCTGTGCACATCTCTGTGTCCAGGCTTCCCCTTCACAGAAGGACATCGAGCACATTGGAAAGGATCCACCCTTCTCTGTAAAGACCCTCTTTCCAAATAAGGTTACATCCCCAGATCCTACAGGTTAGGACCTCAACATAGGAATTTTGGGAGACACAATTCAACCCATGACACTACAAGAAGAAAACACAGTTTATAGATATTGATGTAGATATGGACACATAGACATATGCAGATGTGTCCATGTGTGTGCATATCCCTGTATATTTCCCATCTCCCACATTCTTCATTTTTTCCTGTAGATCAAGTTTCCATATGATATTATTTCCCTTCAGCCTGAAGATATTTCTGTAGGATTTCTGGCACTGAGGATTTCGTAGTCACAAATTTTTTTCAGTGTTAAATTTATCAGAAAATATTATTTTAATCTAGTCTAAGAATATTTTTACTAGACACAGAAATCTGCATTGATAGGCTTTTTCTCATTACGTTAGAGATGTCACTTAATTTTCTTCTGCCTTCCATTGTTTCTGATGTGAAGTTGGCTGTCATTCACATTGCTTTTTCCTGTTATCAAGAGTTTTCATCTTAGCACTTTTTATATTTTAAATCATATAATTTATTTGTTGCAGGTGGCTTACCAATGCACTGTAGGATGTTTAGCAATACCTCTGTCCTCTACCAAATAGTTGCCATTAGCACCTAATCCCTACCCCCAGTTGTGAAAATCAAATAAATCTCCATAAACTGCCAGATTTGTCCAGGAGACAAAATCACCCCCTGTTAAGGACCACCTTATCACATGTACAGTTTTGTGTGACCACCAGTACCACCAATATGCAGAATTATGTTGTCAATATAAGGACTCCTTATTCTACTGGTTGGGAGCCACGCCCACCCTCTCTCATTCTGAAATCTTGGCATCAATCACTCTGTACTTAATCTCTATAATTTTGCTGTATGTGATGTTATATAAATGGTATGCAATCTGTTAAGATGGTGTGTTTTCAATTTATCATAATTTTTTGAGGTTTGGCCAAGTTATTGCATCTATCGAGAGTCCATTCCTTTCATTGGTGAGCCATATTCCATGTTATGAATGGACCACAATTTGTGTGGATCCATTCACCTGCTGAAGGGTAGTTTCAAGCTTGGAAATCACCAAAAACTGCTGTGGGCATGTATGTACATATTTCTCTAGAAAATACCATTCTATTTCTCTGGGATAAAATTCTAAGTGTGCTATTGATAGGTTGTCTGATATGTGCATGTTTAGTTTAAAATAGGTTGTCACTATCTTCCAGAGTAACTGTAGTATTTTACATTCATACAGTAGCAATGTATGAAAGAGCCATTTTTTACATCCTTCTCAGCATTTGGCGTTATCAACAGTCTTTACTGGAGTCATTCTGATAGATATGTAGCAAGAGCTCATTGTGATTTTAACTTGTATCTCCCAAATAGCCAACAATACCAAACTTTTTTTTCATGTGCTTATTTTCCAGACGTTTTCTTCTTCGGTAAAATGTTTCTTCATGTTTTTTGTCCATTTCATGATATCGTGTTTTTTAATGCTTCGTTTTGAGAGAGCCTAATATAAGCTAGATACATATCTCTTTGTTAATTCTGTCACTTGCAAATACTTTCTGTAATCCTCTTAAAATACACTTGCATGGAGCTGAAGTTTTTAATTTTTATGTCATCAAATTCAACAACTTTTCCCTTTATGGATAATGCTTTGAGGTTTAAGTATGAGCATTTTTTACCTAGTTATATGTCCCAAATATATTTCTTATTGGTTATTTCTAGAAATGTTATAGTTTCACATTTTACTTTTAAGTCTTGATCCATTTCCAGTTTATTTTTGCATAAGGTGTGAGCTTTAGGTTAAAGCTTATATGATTTTTTTATTGCATATGAGTATCTGTTAATTTATTGTAATCTAGTTTTCTGTCTGTTATTGAGATTGGGTAATACTCTTTGATGTCTTTTCAAGTTTACCGACCCTTTATTTTTCATTCTCCAAGATTCTGCTAATCTCATCCAGTGAATTTTTACTTTGGGTATTTTGCTTTTTCACTTAGTTTATTGATGACTGATAGTCCCCCATCTGTTCTGTCATGGTGTTCCTATTTTTAAGTTCTTAAGTAAGTATATTTATAATAGTTGTTTTAAGATTTCTGCCTGTCAATTCCAACATCTAAAGTATGTAAGGTTTGTCTTGATTGCTTGTTTTTTTTCTTGATTATAGAACACAATTTTATATTTTTTCACATTTCTAGTCTTTTTTAATTGCACACAGGGCATTATTGAGACTTGGTTTTAGGAAAGTAGGGAATCTGGTCTTCCTTTAAAGGCTGTTAAGTTTTGTTCTGGCAGGCAGATGTATTATTCATACAGATCATTTTAAAACTGTCAGAATGATGTTATATTTTTATGGTAGATGTATCTCCATGTCACCCTGTGCTGTAGGGCCTATATCTTACCCTTGCACTTCATCTTTACTTCCACCTGGTAGCCTGTCTTTAATTTCCACTCAATACTTTGAGATTTTTAACAAAGTCTTAGTACTCAGACGCAGTCGGCTTTAACATCTACCTGGCATGATCGTAGGTAAAACAGGAGAACAAAACATTAATTCTCAGCCTCGCACAAAAAAAAAGTCACTCTCTGCTCAACCACAGGAAGTCTTGTCCTCCACATGTGCATTCCAAGACTTAGCCAAGGACCCACAGAAAATCCCCGTGAAGACTTCTGCTCCTCCCTGCTCCTGTCCCCACCCTGGAGCATACCCCTTCCTGACACCATTCCGTGCAAATTCCAGATGGATCCACAGGCCTGGTCTCTGATCTCCGCCCTCTGTGTTTACGGAGAACACCGTGCTCTACTCTGGACGCACTTCTCTGTTTCCTTTCTCATCAGCGCCGCAGGGCAGGAAGCCAAGATAAATATGGACTTACCTTCTGGTTCCTCCCTCCTCTCAGAGATCTTGGTCTTCTATGGTCTGCTGTCCACTGGCTCGGAGCGGTTGCCCCATGTATTCTGCCCAGCTCTGTTGTGCTGTAGGGTGGGAGACCATATCCAATGGGAGTGATCCTTTCAAGGCCATGTGTGAAAGTTCTCTGACTCAGCATAATTTTTAATGATAGACAAAATAATTGCAATGCATGTCCCCTGGAGAATCATAAATGTTTTCATTTTGGTCCAAATAGAAGGTATCTCAATATCCTCAAAGCAAACCAAATAAAATACCTTGTAAATAGAATGAACATATGTTCTTGTTTTCTAACATGACCCCCATTAATGCCTATTATTAATAGCTCCCCATTTACTCTCAAAAATACTCTAGTTTGCGCAAAAAAAACGTCCTGCATCCTCTATTTATATATATCAATAATAGTGATTTTTAGTGTGAGAGCCTTATATAAGCCCACTTTATCTTTACCATACAAAATCTTTTTTAACATTCAATTTGCCTTTTCCAGATTTAATATCACTATTTCTTTTTAGAAATATTTTCTTTGGTAATTTGAAAATTAACATCCAACCTACCTCCTCATTTGCTAGTGGTTTGAGGTAAGTTTCAACATGGTGAAAAACTTGTTTTGAGAATAAGCAGAACAACATAAACCATACTTTTATTAGGCTATTCCTTCCACAGAAAAAATATATATCCTATTTACTCACAAAATTCTCCCTGCTGAAAGATGTTTTCGTGGTCAAAAGACAACAAATCGCTCCCCTTGCCATGGCTGATCACACAAACTCCACGGGCGCTGTGGCTCGGACCCTGACTTGAGGCAGCCATGGCAACGGGCAGTCATGGCCCCATGGAGGAGGTAAGACCTGTCCTCACCTCTCCGGTCCCTCGTCTCTGTCCTCTGCAGACCAGTCACGTTGTGGTTATCATGACCCGGCCTTCCAAAAAACACACACAAACTCGAAGATGCCTAAATACATTCAGAAAAACAGCCTATTTTTCTTACATTAAAAACAGAATGAATCTTCAGTAAAACTGTATTCGAGGGTGAATGTGATGTCTCTGGCCATAAATGCTCCTCTGCTCTGTGAGGGTGTGGGTCTCTGCACTGCATCTCTGACCATCCAGCCGACGCCTTAAGAGCCTAGTAAACAGGGTAGAAAGTAGTTCTTCTTGTTCATCGTTTGTTGTCTTTGAATATATGTCTCGTTAATGCACACTGGCCACCTGAATAGCTATGCAGTTGTTTTCCCATCTCTAAGTTGTATATCACATCGAAGATAGTAATAAATGATGCACTTTTAGATCTTACGCAAATATGTTGTCTTTCCATGTATCTTCTGTTCAATAATTATTTTTATGTTTCTATATTGAAAGTGATCCATATTTCATGTCAGTTTTGTACCTTTAATGAAATATGGAGAATAGCTTCCATTGAGTGGAAGGTTTTCTTTTATGAGGGCCCTCATAGAAGATTCAAACTGTCGGAGATACAGACTTTGAAGGAGTAGTGGTCAGGGCGCTGTGATACGTTGCTTCTGTCTTAAAACATCCCAAACACTGTCAGCTCCAAGTGTCTATACCTAGAATCTACTAAATCAGATCAGACCATTTTTATATGACAGTTGCAAATGTAGGGGTTTTTTTGAATGTTAAATCTGTTTCTATTTTTCAATCAATTTAAAATGTGTAGAAAAAGTGTTCTGATTGTATATTATCCAATTTTCATCAGCTGCCGGAAGGAAATGCTGTGAAAATCTGTGATTTAAAACCCTTAAAACTTCTGCTTGAAATGCATGTTTTCTTAAGAACATTAGATATGCAAAGTATCTTAAACAGAATGTTGATATCTTTATTAATAGCATTTCAAAGTTTTAGGATTTCAGATATTCATAGAACTTACTCTCCTTGATTTACAAGGTCAAATATTTTAGACCTTTATAGTTCTTCTTCTGGAAATAATTGGAGTTGTCAAGGAAACTGGTAAAAGAAAAAGAAAGAATTACAGTAGCAATAATAATGCTATCCTTTCTAAGATTTAATGAAAAAATGTATTTTACATGGGATATATAAATAACCACAAATATCAATAAACCAATTTGTCCCGTTGTGTGTGCATCACCTGCCGGCAATCTGTGTGTAGTACAAAGATCCCGTCTTCACGAGATCGTTCTCTGTTTGGACAAATAAAAATGCTCACACCAAGGAGTGGTATAATTAAGAACTGTTGGAATTGAGACGAGCACAAATTTTTTTTCCTTTAGGCTTTCACAGCTGAAGCGAGGTTTGAGTTAAGGAATGAAAGCAATGCATAATAGGAATTTGTGATGAAAATACTACTGAATAGTAAGTTGTGACTACAAGTTCAAATGCAAAATATTTTTATGACATCCAAGCAACCTGCATTAGATACGGAAATGGTGAAACTATGAAATGAACCAATTAGAACAGATGATTTTCTGTCTTATAGCTATATTTGGTTTCATGCTGATTTAAAAAAAAACAGAAGTACTAGAACTCTATGTTAATTAGGACTTTATTTAGTTTTTCATCTTTAGTTTTACCTAGTCTATCAGTTAGTATTTATGCTCATCCACAAGTAAGAGGTTTCAAAAATAGTGATTTAAACAAAAGGGGATTTAATTTCTCACTTGAAGAAAGTCCCAGGTTATGGTGGCCCCATGATGTAATTAGGGCTTTTTCCAGCCCTTCACCCGGACACCACTGCAGTTTTGGATCATGGCCAAAGTAGCAGCTGAAGCTCCGGTCATCAAATCTCTCTTCCAGGCCTATAGTTGATGGAGGGAACAAATTCGGCTCTAGGACCTTCCTTTAAGGGGGCTTCAAGGAGGCACCATGCTTTCACTCGCCTGCATATCAATGGCCAGATCTACCACGAAGAGGCTGGAAAATGCAGTGTTCTAGAGGCGTGTAAGACTGCCTAGACATAGGCTGGGGTTGGTGCCATTAAGGAGAGGAAGGCGGTACTGGGGGCTAGGGTACATACCTAGCAGTTTTTGTCATCCCTACTAAGCGTCCTTTGTGCCCGGGGTGCAAAGGGAGGCATTGCTAAGTTCTAATGAACCAGGCCGACACTGCATGATTACAGAAGGAACATCGTTTACTGGGTGGTTCTATTATCAGCATTAAAAATGTTATTCAAGGCTGAGATAGGCTGTACCCATTCTAGTTACCAGACTATATGAAGATCATGAAAAAAATTCCTTGGAAATAAATAAACCTTTAAGGAGAATGACATATAGGGGGCTGTGTGGTTACTTTATGCCGGGGTGAAAGAAATTATTTTTGGCTGGATAGGCAGTGAGATAGATATGGACAAAGGTAACAGATTTTTTTAGTCTGGAGAATTTTAGTCTAACAGATTTTTTTCTCCGTGTCGAATTCCACTCTGCTCTGGAATCCTGTTCTGTTTAAGCAAGAGCCTTCTGTTATCTGTAGATGACTCTTTATTTCTAAATTTGTAAATGCTGAGAGTGCCCCCCTCAAATATCACCCTGAGGAAGCTTGTTTCTTCTAATATTCTATCATGTGTTTGTCTCTCTATTTACTTCTTAACAAGGAGACGACTCTATCTGGCACTTCTGAGAGCTTTTCATCTCTGGGCCTGATCTCTGTGTCCCCTTCGGGGCTGCCTCTGGCCTCTGCATCTCCTGTCACCTACTGGAAGGTCCTCTCCCTTTTCACAGTCAGGAGTCAGCCCCTCACTTAGTCTGCAATGAAAACAGGGCCCCTGTCTATCTCTCGAGCAAGGAAGAGCAAGACTGGTACTGTTTAACTAGGGCACGAGCAGAAACACGTGGGCTGGGGTGCAGAGAGCAACACTGTCCAGTGACCTAACTTCAGAAGGGCAATAGTCAGGGTAAGTTGTACGTCGAACTCCATACTGTCTTTGTACATCACAGGCAAAAAATAATAACAAAGTATAACACTCTGAGGAATCTTCAGTGAAAGAGGTCACCTCCAGCCCCATGAAAAGTGTTTTCAATGACCCTCTTCACTGGTTGCGAGGAATGTAAATTCCCATTTTCTCCCAGCACTGCCCGCGGTCTCCCAGAAAGTAGGTAGAATTGAGAGGAGGCAGAACAGCAGCGAAAGAACACGACTGCCAGGTCGAAAAACCAGGTGCCAAGTTACTCACCCTGCTCATAACCTATTCCCCGGGGAATGCGCTTACACCTGCAACCCCATTGAAACTGTGAACACATAATTCTTAAATTTCAGTGTACAGCCATACATTAGTTAATGAAATTAATTTTGCTTCTATTTCAAAAGACCCTGAACTCCTCTCACTCATGTGGCAGCAGCAATCGCTGTGTGGAGACCCCCGATGCAATGGCCAACCCAGCAGCGATCTCTGCATCTCTTCCCCTTACAAAATCAGTAGATGCACCTGTGGTGCCGAGTTTAGACTGCACATCCAAAGAGATCTGTCACATGTTGGCACCTGTAAACATGTCTTCATGCACACGCCACTGAAGTTGAGAAAAAATAGGGTTGTTTTTTCTTTTTTTTAATGTGCAGACTGAATTTTAAAAAGAAAATAGATGAATTTTTTTAGTGTATCCGAGTTAATTTTTCAAAATTCAATGCTTGCATAGTCGATGGGGATGGGATAAATATTATGGGATTTTCATTTGCATTGCCCTTCCTGTTCTCTGAAATAATTTATTATAATTTTCATGAGATTTCATAATATTATTCATTCACTTCATAATTGAAATGTTGTTAAACGCTGCCTCATGTTGATTCCTGACCTACACCAGCCAAAGGCACCTTCCTCTACCCCTCTCTCCTTTCCAACTAAGAAAGTTAGTGAGTTTGATACACAACAATAACCTACATTGGTGATTCTGGTCTTATTTCTTTGTAAAATGGAAATGCAATTCCTAGCTTCTTAGAAATATATGATAGATTAACTAATTGAAAATTTCTTATGATTTCTAATACAATGCAAATTTTAAGAATTGTTACTAAAAATATTTAGAAATATCAAAAGACATTGGGGAATTAAAATGTGAAAATGATGCTATAATTTCATCAATAAAAGTTAGCTTTTCATAAAAAATAAACAGTGATCACTTATTGCATTCAAGTTTATTACCCAATTTTTAGTAAACAAACAGAAGGAAAGCAAGCAATAAATGGTCAGCAACAAGAACTATACCGGGTACTTAGAAGGTGCTGAATAAAAATTTATTTAGTGAGATCTATCTCCTAGACTTTGAAAGCAGAGTGGGAAAAAAATATGTGCCCTCACTTTAGTAAATGTTCACATAAGCTCACAAAAAAAGTTCCAGTTTGCCTGGCATATGACAAATCCTTCATCTTTTGACAAAATTAGTAAAATCTATAAAGCACCATGCATGACCTCTCCAATGGAAAACTTCTGGCACCTGCCCACACGGGTCTAGTGAAAGGCCAAGGTCAGATCAGTCTCCTGTTCCTGAAACAAGAGTCACATTTTGTTTACTACATCTTATCATTCTGTTACTTACCCCAGGTAATGTATGGAAGGAGGCTGACTCTTTGAGCTGGTCTATGACAAAATAGCCTCAGACTCAGAGTAAGAATTCTAGGGAAGGGCTTCCTCCCTGTGCTCCCCACAGGAGGATAACTCAGAGCGAGCCCTACATTCCCGGGATGATTTCTTTCCCGTCCTCTGTGTCAAAGGGGAGCACTATCTGGGATACTATTTTGGGATATGGAATTTTAGAAGTTGTCTATGGAGGCAGGTGTAATGAGTCCATCGGTTATGTTACTTCTCACTAGCGTTTCTAAACCCAACACCTATAGGTGGAAGGAAGTCAGTTGAAGTAGTTAATGAAAAACAGTTAAAGGGGAATTTAAAGAGAAGAAACTTAAATACATCCATCTAGAAGATAGAGAAGCCGAACATGAATAAAATATTATACAGGAAAAGTGGTATTTGAAGCCAGAGAGAGATAATATTTATTGACTTCATATTCTGCACGAAGCATTACTCTAGGTCCAAAAAATAGACTCACCAGGTTCTATTTTTTTTACCCTCCTGGCTTATTTTGTTTTAGTTTTATTGACATCGGTGTCACATACCAGAACTGTGACCCATCAAACACAACTGGGACAAGTCCTGGAGCA